ATGGTTAAACATTTTAATGAAAAATAAAATATACATATATAGTCACAATATTATTTTTATAAATGAGATTAGTAATATTATATTGATGCATATTTAGGAGTAATATAATCAATCAAAAAATTTAATAAAGATTGAAATTTATACATTGAGAATATATAATTAAAAATGATCTTGTTTAGAAATTTAAATGTATAAGGATATGATAGTAATTTAGATATTAAGTGTGGAAGGATAAAGTGACTATTTTAATTTTTTATCAGGATAAAATTGTAAATCAAAAATTTTTTATGTTAAGATATTTTTATTAGTAATATAGGTTAATAAATCTCTTCAAATTAGAAAATGACACGTGTCCCAACGAAAAGCTCCCCTCAAATTCCCGCCATTTTCTATTTCTCTTGCATTCTCTCTTGAAGCTGCCTTGATATTGTGGGTTGTGTGGGTGCCTCTCTGCAAACCCAACCCATAAAACAAAGCACCAAGAAAGAAGTGAAAGAATCATTTTTCTCACACCTGCATTGGTCATACAGCTGGGTATTCTCTCTTTCTCTCTCACAAATTGCTTTCTCTGTTCTCCGCGAATGGTTGGATAGATTTGTGTATTGGTTACATGATGTTACTTTTATCGTTCATGAACAACATGATCAGGGTTTGTTTCTTAAAAATCTTCTCATTCTCTCTCTCTCTCTTTCAATGTGTGTGTGTGGATATACAACTATCTCCCTTCCCCTGTTTTCTTGTCTGTGTTTTATGCCATTGGGTTGACGAAATTTATGTTTCTTGATCAGGGTTTTTTTCCCATACTGTTATACTTCTTTCATAGTGTGATTAGGATTTTTGTAGTTTGACAATCTTTGGTCTCTCTCTCTCTCTCGTTTACTACAACTGGGTTGATGGAAGTATATGTCCCTTGAACATTATATGCCTTTATCTATGGTTAGCAGAATAGGTTGGATCTGCTTTCTTGACTCACTTTCTAAGGTTTTCTTTTCTGCGTTTTCTACAACTGTGTGCTGAAATATCTATTAATCAATCTCCATATGATCGCCTCTCGTGTGAAATTCAATTGGGGTTTGTTTTCTTCAAATTTGGTGACTGAACTGTTAAGATTCAACCAGTGATTGTTCTTCTGAATGAGAGAAAGATACTGAGAAAGAGGGAGAAATGAGGGATTTCTATGGAAATATCTTGACAGGGTTTGTTTTCATTTTTCTGGAGCTCTAATATGTGAAATCACTCGGTTATTGGTTTTGGCTCGTTTGATTTTTGATATTTTTTTATTTGCTTGCTTTCAAGAACTAGGGTTTTACCATTCTTTGAGTGTTCTTTGTTTGGAATGCTATGTAAATGCGTAAGTGCACTGAAACTTTTTCATATCCTTTGTTTCTTCATCGCTTCCTTTGTTCAAAAATCTCACCCTGTCTCTGCCTCTGTCACTCTGCCTCTCTCTCTCTCTCTCTCATATTCACTACCTGAAAGTTCTATTTGTGTAAGTGTCTGTACATTCATCTTTATGTCCAATTTAATTAGAACCTAGATACTTGGCTCAAATTTTTTTTTTGTTTTCAATTTTGATGTGTTTAATCGTTTATTCATGTTGTTTAGATTTTATAAGGTTTTGAGAACATGAAACAGTTCGACCTACTCGAATTCTACCACGTACAAAAGAGATAGAACGACAGGGTAGGAGATTGACCAAGTTAGTACTTGGCAGCCCCCACAAAGATAAATGAAAGAACTTTTCCTTTTTCTTTTTCTACTTTTTTACAAGAAAAGTAAAATCACCAATAAAAAAGTCATATCCATGTCTGATCCCACACAGATAAATGGTGTCTTGTTTAGTGCTATGTGACAGTCTCTATGGGTTTTTTTTTTTTNTATAATGATATTTTAGGCACTTCGATAATATTCTTTTTTAGAGAAACAGTGGAAATAAAGCCTACAACATATTTTGGACTTGTGGCTCTGTACCTTAGATGATTAAAATAATTATTTTTCTTTGATACATAATTATAAGAAAATAATGTATATAATTTTAAACGTCAAATAATTAAGGTGTTTTTAGAAAAATTACAGGAAGGTCAAAAATAATTAACCCTTTATTTATTACTAGTAATGCACCACGTGCGTTGCACGTGAATAATTTTTTTAGAAAAAATTAATAAATAAATATTTGGTATATGTGTACTTGAATTAAATATTATCTCAAATTTACTAAATTTATTTTTTCATCTCTCGTGCTCCACTATATAAATTTTGAAAACATTGTATATTTTTAAGATTTGTTGTTCTAACTTTAAGAAAAATGATAAAAAAAAAAAAGAAAATAAATAATTAAGTTCTATTTGTTTCTATAATTTTTGTAATTGAAAGTTATTTTTTAGTGATGTTTGAAAATTAAATTTTTTANGAAAAGAAATAATTAAAGTTCTATTTGTTTCTATAATTTTTGTAATTGAAAGTTTTTTTTTAGTGATGTTTGAAAATTAAATTTTTTAAAATTAATTAGATTAAGATTCCATTTATAAATCATTGAATAAAATAAAGATAATTACCAACATACCAATCATATTAGAACCTTATTTTATTTAAGATTAGTTAGGTCAATTAAGATAAAATTTCATAAACAATGCTATAATATATATTATAAATCCTATTAAAATTTTTAAAAAAATTCAAAATTTCACATAAAATCTTAACACAATTTAAAATTTTTATTGTGATTAAAAAATTATGTAAAACTATATATACATTATTTTTTATCTTAAAAATGAAAATGGTTAAACATTTTAATGAAAAATAAAATATACATATATAGTCACAATATTATTTTTATAAATGAGATTAGTAATATTATATTGATGCATATTTAGGAGTAATATAATCAATCAAAAAATTTAATAAAGATTGAAATTTATACATTGAGAATATATAATTAAAAATGATCTTGTTTAGAAATTTAAATGTATAAGGATATGATAGTAATTTAGATATTAAGTGTGGAAGGATAAAGTGACTATTTTAATTTTTTATCAGGATAAAATTGTAAATCAAAAATTTTTTATGTTAGGATATTTTTATTAGTAATATAGGTTAATAAATCTCTTCAAATTAGAAAATGACACGTGTCCCAACGAAAAGCTCCCCTCAAATTCCCGCCATTTTCTATTTCTCTTGCATTCTCTCTTGAAGCTGCCTTGATATTGTGGGTTGTGTGGGTGCCTCTCTGCAAACCCAACCCATAAAACAAAGCACCAAGAAAGAAGTGAAAGAATCATTTTTCTCACACCTGCATTGGTCATACAGCTGGGTATTCTCTCTTTCTCTCTCACAAATTGCTTTCTCTGTTCTCCGCGAATGGTTGGATAGATTTGTGTATTGGTTACATGATGTTACTTTTATCGTTCATGAACAACATGATCAGGGTTTGTTTCTTAAAAATCTTCTCATTCTCTCTCTCTCTCTTTCAATGTGTGTGTGTGGATATACAACTATCTCCCTTCCCCTGTTTTCTTGTCTGTGTTTTATGCCATTGGGTTGACGAAATTTATGTTTCTTGATCAGGGTTTTTTTCCCATACTGTTATACTTCTTTCATAGTGTGATTAGGATTTTTGTAGTTTGACAATCTTTGGTCTCTCTCTCTCTCTCGTTTACTACAACTGGGTTGATGGAAGTATATGTCCCTTGAACATTATATGCCTTTATCTATGGTTAGCAGAATAGGTTGGATCTGCTTTCTTGACTCACTTTCTAAGGTTTTCTTTTCTGCGTTTTCTACAACTGTGTGCTGAAATATCTATTAATCAATCTCCATATGATCGCCTCTCGTGTGAAATTCAATTGGGGTTTGTTTTCTTCAAATTTGGTGACTGAACTGTTAAGATTCAACCAGTGATTGTTCTTCTGAATGAGAGAAAGATACTGAGAAAGAGGGAGAAATGAGGGATTTCTATGGAAATATCTTGACAGGGTTTGTTTTCATTTTTCTGGAGCTCTAATATGTGAAATCACTCGGTTATTGGTTTTGGCTCGTTTGATTTTTGATATTTTTTTATTTGCTTGCTTTCAAGAACTAGGGTTTTACCATTCTTTGAGTGTTCTTTGTTTGGAATGCTATGTAAATGCGTAAGTGCACTGAAACTTTTTCATATCCTTTGTTTCTTCATCGCTTCCTTTGTTCAAAAATCTCACCCTGTCTCTGCCTCTGTCACTCTGCCTCTCTCTCTCTCTCTCTCTCTCTCTCATATTCACTACCTGAAAGTTCTATTTGTCGAAGTGTCTGTACATTCATCTTTATGTCCAATTTAATTAGAACCTAGATACTTGGCTCAAATTTTTTTTTTGTTTTCAATTTTGATGTGTTTAATCGTTTATTCATGTTGTTTAGATTTTATAAGGTTTTGAGAACATGAAACAGTTCGACCTACTCGAATTCTACCACGTACAAAAGAGATAGAACGACAGGGTAGGAGATTGACCAAGTTAGTACTTGGCAGCCCCCACAAAGATAAATGAAAGAACTTTTCCTTTTTCTTTTTCTACTTTTTTACAAGAAAAGTAAAATCACCAATAAAAAAGTCATATCCATGTCTGATCCCACACAGATAAATGGTGTCTTGTTTAGTGCTATGTGACAGTCTCTATGGGTTTTTTTTTTTTCAATTGGTTATGCTAGAAATGCGTTCTGAGATAGGCTGGATATGGACCAAGCACACACAAAACCAATAACAGAGTAATTTCATATCTTTTAACTCATCACCGAGTCTTGCACCATTCTAAGCAATTTTCACTGTTTCTTATGACTTATGAGCTCTTTCTATGCAGTGTGTTTTTATTTTTTTACTGTTGGCTATTTCCAATGAATGTAATGATCCCACAATTTTGAGGCCAACACTTGTTATAGAATCTGTAGATTGTTTTTATTTTATTGGGTCTTGCAAGTTTGTGGCCTTGTCAGGGCACTAATCGGCAGATATTGTCTCAGAAGGAGGTGATACCATGGCCAAGGATAAACCAACAGATGTGGAATCAAATGAGGGAATGGACAAGAAATTCAGCAAGCATTTGCGTGTTAGAGGCGCCCCCAGTAGAGATGATGGGCAGAAGGGTAAACACGCTAAAGCTAGTAAAAGCAACATTGCTGTGAATGAAAAAGAAAAAGGTGATTCAATTGGCAGTGACAGGGTTCTAAGAAGTGCGAGTAATGGAGACGGAAAAACGTTTGAGAAGGCTGAGGGGCACAGGTGTACGACAAAGTTGACCATTGACGCTGTGTCTGCAATGGGTGAAAATTTTGGGAAAAGAAAAGTAATGGCAGAGGAGGAAAATGCAGGGATGGCTGAACCTCCAGCAAAAAGAAGAAGAAATGTTGACAAGGATAAGACAAAGAAGAGTGATTTGCGTGTCAGTGACAGGATTCTAAGATCACATGATGTAATGAAAGGAGATGAAATTGAAAATGGAAAGTCCAAGGGGAAGAAACCTGTGGCAGAGAAAAGTCACTCAACTGGACTTGAGGTTAAACGTGTTGAAGGTGCTGCAAAGAGAAAATTTCATGCTGAGGAGGAGCTCTTAGAATCACAGAGGGAAAATACCATGGAGGTAGACTGTTACAGTTCAGAGCTTGCGAAGAAGCCTTTGCTCAAGGTTGGAGGTGGTGGACCTGTGGAAACACTACAAAAACAGATGAACGAAATGGCAATAAGTGGTGTGAAGAAAAGGGGCCATGAGCTAAAGATGAGGGAGGACAAGAAGGATGAGTTCAAAGATGTGAGAGAGGCTTCACCGAAGACACGAGATGTTAAACCAATAGCAAGCAAAGATGGAAAAAAGAGTGTTCACTCGCAGAAAAGGGGCAACACCAAGGACAATACAGGGAATGCGGGCAAGAAGACCGTCTCCAATAGAATTCTCGAGGCAGAAACTCAAGCTGTGCAGAAAACCATGAAGAGCAGCGGTCAGGGTAATGTGGAGATCAGGAAAAATCCTCCTAGGAAAGGGCAAGAAGCTACTGATCAAACCAGGTAAATTTGCCATCTAAATCAATATATATTGATGAACAAATTTTAGTGCTTATCTTCTGAGTATATTAAATTTTCTTTCTGTTCGGAAGTGAAGTGCAAGAACAGTATCGGCAAACTAAGCTCTTCATAAATAGGTAGTCCTCCTTTGCCTGGTTCATATACTCGGATCTTTCATTGGGTTTTAATTCCAAATTTCTGAAATTGAACAGGTCTCCAACTTGTTTTGGTATGAGCAACTGATTCATGTATTCAGAATTAATGGTTTTTGGGTCTGTACTTTGTAACATGCTTTAGAGTTCTTCATAGTTGATGTTGACTTCATCAATGTTATTGATACTGGCTGTGGTTGAGGCTAGAAGGATATACAAGACATATGAGAGGCAATGAGACAGAAAAAGAGAACCTCGCTAAATATAAAAATTGATTGGAGATGAGAGTAAAGTCTATTGGAAATCAGTAGCATAACAAATAGTGCAACTTTTAGCAGACGTAGAATACCTTCCTACATATGGATCATCACATAGCAAGTTTTGTTGATTAACTGCTAAAATGAATACACATTTCCTCTAAAAAATTGGAGTGGCATAAAGTGGAACTAGCTTTGGGATTAGAGTTTCCAGTTGCCATGGTTTGAATATGATGGTGATCAAACTTGGAATAACAGAGAAGTGCTTGAACTGAGAGATTCAAGGCTCAAGGATACTGGTTTTGTGGCTGTGTGACGGAGGAAATGATCCTCGGGATGGTGCCTGGTGGCTCTTCGTGATCCTCCAGTTAAATCAGAAAAGAAGACTGAGCTAGAGAATGAATAAGAACACAAGGGTTATAGTGGTTCACCAGTTGTAAAGTTTGGCTAATCTACTCTAATGGAGTCTCTTTCTTCTTGAGGAACTATATATTGCTTGGAGAAGGGAAGATAGAGTTTGGTCGTTGAGGGAGCAATATGCATAGTAGACTAGTACAGGAGGAACTTTACATGGCACTTGCAGCAATAATATTTTCTGGCCATCTGCCATTGTTGGGATCATGCTCGGCTATGTTTACTTCTTTGTCATTCTGAGATTTCCCTTCTCATCATTTGTTGCATGTCGTTAAGTTTTCTGTTCATAAATTTCAGTGAATGCTTTTAATTTTGGATAATTATGTACATTTACTGGTTTGGTGGTCTTGTTTTGCAGATGATTTGTAAAGTGAATGTGACAAATAATTCAATTGTACATAATCATGGGCTGGTAACAATTCTGTTCATCAACTCTTCGGAAGGATTCTTGAGTTTTTTCCACACGTGAGTCATCTTTTTACCACCTATTTTTGATAGTATGGATGCTTTACATAATTCAAAATTTTCATGTAATCATTCATATAAGCATTTGTCTATGGATCTGGAGACGAAAAAACAAAACTATATTGCTCGCTGTGGCATGTCAGCATGATTAGTATCCATGAAATTTTGGAAAATATAATGTCATGATGTGTTTAGTTGCAAAGAAGAGCAAGCATTCCAGTTCCAACAGCCTGTATGCTATTTTTTTCTTACCTTCTATTTTTGCAAGCAAATAAGCAATGGTTTTGCTGCAATCCTGATTATTGGTTTCTTGGATAAACAGTTGATAGTTGTTGAAGTTCCAAATTCTCCACCATTTTTGTTCCTCGGAGACTCTGGTCCTCCCTCACATAGACTCTTAATATATGGAAGTCGTGAAATGTTATTATGAGTCTCACACACATTTAACCATTAATCTTGATCATCCCTGGTCTTTCTTGATATCTTCTCCACATTTGAAATGAATTATGATTTTCGAGAATTCTCTTATTATTAATGATGAGTAATGCACTTGGCACACACAGTGCATACATGTCCCGGTTTCTGGTATTTATGACCATCAAAGTCTACCACCGTGTGTATTGTATCAAACAGNCGGTGCATACATGTCTTGGTTTCTGGTATTTATGACCATCAAAGTCTACCACCGTGTGTATTGTATCAAACAGCGTTGCTTGTAATCTTCAAAGGTTAACCTAATCAAACTTTAATCTCGAATTCATAACAGATTCTTAAGTTGCCAAACACTTGATAAGAGATGGTTAGCTAACTGATCCTCCCTCCTTAAATTTCAACTTAGTAACTAAGAACCTTATTGGACGTGATAATGAAAGTGCGGTTTAAACTCCCAGCATGTACTCGGGTCTTGACAATGATGCATCTTGGGGAGGAGCAGGCAGGGCGATCGCCCCCCAAAGGTTTTGATAAACTTCGTTTTATACACAATTATCAATTATGAGTACTCTAAATTATAAATAAACTTGTTCTCTAGATTTTTTCCAAAATTTAAAAGTCTGCCCTTCCTATATACTTCACAGCGCTAGACTCGTCCCCAAGCATTGAACAGATCGGACACTACCCAAACCATAAATTTGTAACAGGTTCTTACCTTATCAAAGTTGCCTAACGATTGATAAGAAGGGGATTTCATCCATCTTTTCTCCCTTAATGCCTTGTGTTGTAATGAAACTCTAACCGGNGTTTGATAAGATGGTGATTTCATCCATCTTTTCTCCCTTAATGCCTTGTGTTGTAATGAAACTCTAACCGGGCATGACACAAGCATCTCAAGCCTAAATTGACTTTGATTACTTATTCTTAGTCTTGGGATTGATCATGCCATCCCATTATAGCATGTAAAAAATGAGAGAGAGAGAGAGGGAGAGAGAGAGAAGTGCACTAAAGTCTTAGTCTTCGGTTATGGGAAAGAGATTTATCCTTAGAAATCGAAAATACCAATGGCTTTACTCCAAATCCATCCCTACACTTTCTACAAAAAGATTATGGCAGCTCCTGGTGATGATCATAGTTTTGAAGTGAGCCAAACGCATACGCTTTTGAAGGGTGATGAATGCCAGCAAACTAACTGCTGACAAATGTACTTCTGGTGTACCTTAATAAGCTAAAATATATAGTGTTTGACATAAAATCAAACATGTTCTCTATGACATCATGCCATATGTTTGTGTCGATCGTTCAAACTAACTGTGGATAACTACCAATTTGCGTGAGCTATGAGCCATTTGTGATGAATTTGAACATGTGTAAAGAATGCAATTATATTATAATGATTTTTCTCAAATCCTTTGATGGATATTTTCGAGTGACAAGAGTAGTCTCTCCGAATTAGTATAAATAATAATGTGATTAGAATCTTCAAAAGGTTAAAATTTTATCATTTGTAATGAAGACTTATAGTGAAATACACGCGCGATTGTTGTCGATTTAACAGGAGAATCCACTGGGGCATCATTTCATAGAGCTTGTTATTTTTGGCCGACATTGACTTCATATCTGGATGTAACATTCGCATTGTAGATATATGAATTTTCATGCGAAATTTCATGCTTCACGCACGGTTCTCTTCATTCCTTCTTCAATACAGACTCCATTAACAACTGGTGNGTCTGCCCTTCCTATATACTTCACAGCGCTAGACTCGTCCCCAAGCATTGAACAGATCGGACACTACCCAAACCATAAATTTGTAACAGGTTCTTACCTTATCAAAGTTGCCTAACGTTTGATAAGATGGTGATTTCATCCATCTTTTCTCCCTTAATGCCTTGTGTTGTAATGAAACTCTAACCGGGCATGACACAAGCATCTCAAGCCTAAATTGACTTTGATTACTTATTCTTAGTCTTGGGATTGATCATGCCATCCCATTATAGCATGTAAAAAATGAGAGAGAGAGAGAGGGAGAGAGAGAGAAGTGCACTAAAGTCTTAGTCTTCGGTTATGGGAAAGAGAATTATCCTTAGAAATCGAAAATACCAATGGCTTTACTCCAAATCCATCCCTACACTTTCTACAAAAAGATTATGGCAGCTCCTGGTGATGATCATAGTTTTGAAGTGAGCCAAACGCATACGCTTTTGAAGGGTGATGAATGCCAGCAAACTAACTGCTGACAAATGTACTTCTGGTGTACCTTAATAAGCTAAAATATATAGTGTTTGACATAAAATCAAACATGTTCTCTATGACATCATGCCATATGTTTGTGTCGATCGTTCAAACTAACTGTGGATAACTACCAATTTGCGTGAGCTATGAGCCATTTGTGATGAATTTGAACATGTGTAAAGAATGCAATTATATTATAATGATTTTTCTCAAATCCTTTGATGGATATTTTCGAGTGACAAGAGTAGTCTCTCCGAATTAGTATAAATAATAATGTGATTAGAATCTTCAAAAGGTTAAAATTTTATCATTTGTAATGAAGACTTATAGTGAAATACACGCGCGATTGTTGTCGATTTAACAGGAGAATCCACTGGGGCATCATTTCATAGAGCTTGTTATTTTTGGCCGACATTGACTTCATATCTGGATGTAACATTCGCATTGTAGATATATGAATTTTCATGCGAAATTTCATGCTTCACGCACGGTTCTCTTCATTCCTTCTTCAATACAGACTCCATTAACAACTGGTGCGAAAACTATTATCTATGGAGTTAGAAAACTGTTGCTATTAAGACCCTCCTGACTATTCAATCAATCTCACCTTCCTCCTCCCCCTACCCACAATAAAAGGAAAGAAAAATTGTTTCTTGAACGAATATCTCCGGAAGAACAAAATAGAGATTAAATTACACATAGATNGTGAAAACTATTGTCTATGGAGTTAGAAAACTGTTGCTATTAAGACCCTCCTGACTATTCAATCAATCTCACCTGCCTCCTCCCCCTACCCACAATAAAAGGAAAGAAAAATGGTTTCTTGAACGAATATCTCCGGAAGAACAAAATAGAGATTAAATTACACATAGATGTTTATGTCAGAATCTCATTCCCATATCTCCACTCATTCCAAACAATAAAAAATATAAAGAGAAGACTCAATCTTGCAAGATATCCCATCATATTCATCCCAACTGTTGAATCAAAGGCCCCAAAAAAACTTGAAAAAAAAAAAGATCACGCTAGCTTTTTTTTTTTTTTTTTTTTCTGTTTTGGGAGCAAACGATCACTCTAGCTTGTTGCAACACACTTTCGCATGACTAGGGGTCGTGCACAAATGGTACTTGTGTGCAAATAGAAAAAAAAGAAGAAAAAGAATTAGAAGCGATTATAATAGATTCATATGGGTAGTTATGGGTCTTGCAGCAAAAAAGAAAGTAATTTCTGATTAAAATGAAAAAAAATAAGGATATTATAGACATTTTCTAGGTGGACACCACAACTACCCTATAGATGGATGACTAGATTGCTTATAGTTTGGTCCAATAGTCTACTGGTTTCTAACATTCCCAAGCTCTAGTTTTCTTAGTCTAATGAGCTCACCAAACTCCTGTCATATAAATAAATTTATATATAGAAAAAAAAACATAAACATATAATCATTTCACAAATATTTTTGAGTAATGAAAACAGTCTCTCCATATGAAAGATAGAGATACATATATCTCACCCCAATCTTGTAATATTTAAAGTCTTTTGTCTCTTCTCTATGTATATAAAATGGTAATTAATGTTTAAGGAGTAGTCTAGAAAATTCTTTGACAAATATTTCAGAATAACAAAGTAATCTCTTCACGCACAAAATAAAATTAAGCTTGAAGCATACAGGGGGCAGCGTGCCTTTATTAGTAAAGTCAAGCTCCAAAAATCAAGAGATTAACATGCGGTACGGATTTGACTCGATTAAGAAAAGATCTACTCCGAAAGATCAGGAAAGAACAAGAGCGTTTTATGTAGATAAATGGTGATGTTTAAAAAACAATCTAGAGAATGTTCAAGACCTTTTAATGATTGTGTGTATGATATATGGAATGCAGATATCCATATCCTTACATGTGTATTTGAAAGCAGCAGAAAAATCAGAAACTACCCAAGTGATTATTTCGTCTAAGTCTCTCACATCCCACTCCATACCCTAGAGTCGTGGAAAACAGGACCCAAAACTCTCTCTCTCTCTCTCTCTCCTCCATAAATATTCAAGCTCGTCATAACTTTGTTATCACCTCCATACCGCTCATCATCCTACAAATCCTCCATACTTCTCGAATAATACTCTCTTTCTTACAAAAAAAGAAAAAAGAAAGAGAAAATAATGGCACTACAAAGGCGTAACATTGTGCCAATCATCATCATCATTCTCTCTTTTGTTTCATGTTACACCAGCCTTCATGATGACCCACCAGGACCACTACTTCATAATTATCTTCAAGAAGAATCTGGATACGACTCTCAAGCGTACCCTTCGTATTTCAGCACCATTGAAGACACCAAGTTCGAGAGCTTGGTTGAGCTTGAAACTGATACCTATGATTGGAGGACGTTCGAGACGCTTGCAGCTCCGGCTAAAATGATTAATGTAGACGATTTTGGAGCCAAAGGCGATGGAACTGATGACTCAGAGGTAATCACTCAGTGCCAAGGATGAACTCCCAATTAGAGTCTCAATCTTTTCTTTTAATTTGTACTCATCAAACTTTCATGAGTTATATGGTTAGGAGAAATTACACTTTTATCCCCAAAAACTAGCACTCCAAATTTATTTTACACCCGTCCACTATTCTGTTTCATATATTGTCCCCTCAACTATTATGTTATGTATGAGAATACATATCTATCATTGAAGTTGGGAGTTATATGAATCATCTTCACAAAGTTCGTGCTACAAATATTTGTCCAATTTGATACGAATACTACAACTAAAGTAATATATTAAACCAATAATCGATATCACAACTACATTTTCAATGTGAGAAATCTGATAGTTGAAGGCGACATGAAACCATACATGATTAAGAGAATCAAAGTATAATACTCAATTATATTTCAGCTGTTGTGATCATAATACTCGCAAGTTTATGAAACTTAACCTAAGTTGAATCAAATTTGGTTCACTTGTTACACACNAATTATATTTCAGCTGTTGTGATCATAATACTCGCAAGTTTATGAAACTTAACCTAAGTTGAATCAAATTTGGTTCACTTGTTACACACTTGGATGGAGTCTCCTTTGAGCTCAATCCATGATGTGTATGGCTCCGTTTCTTAGGTGGTTTCGACTTATTTAAGGTTATGAAATGTACTTTTTAATTCAGGCATTTCAGAAGGCTTGGCAGGAAGCTTGTTCATCGACAGGAGCTGTGTTTGTGGTGCCCCAGAGAAAGAACTACCTTCTTAAGCCAATTAGATTCTCAGGTCCTTGCAAATCTTCACTTACAATGGAGGTCAGATCAGTTATATTTAGAAAGNCTTCACTTACAATGGAGGTCAGATCAGTTATATTTAGAAAGGAACCCTTTGACAAATTTAGAATAGTATTTTCTTTCAATAATTTTCTTTTTTTTTTTGTGAAAATTCNAGGAACCCTTTGACAAATTTAGAATAGTATTTTCTTTCAATAATTTTCTTTTTTTTTGTGAAAATTTAGATTTTTGGAACCATTGAAGCATCTGGGGATCAATCGGACTACAAAACAGATGAGAAACACTGGATCATCTTTGACAGTGTCCAAAATCTAATAGTTGAAGGAGGTGGAATTATCAATGGCAATGGGAAGATATGGTGGCAAAATTCCTGCAAAATCAATAAATCTCTTGTAAACATATTAAGCCCTAGAAAATCCTTCCAATGATCTTTTCTTTTCTTTTCTTTTTTTTTTTTTTCGATTGTGTGGTAAATTACACCCGTGGTCCTCAAAGTACGTGTTCAACGTCAGTGTGAGATAATAAATCTTCTAATTTTAAATGGTCCAACTACTAACTTCTATCTAAATAATTAACGAGTAAGAGTTAGTTAAGATCATTTAAAAATAAATTGAAAATTTTAATGATCAAAATGACCCAATTAGAAGTCGAGACCAAAGAAGACTGAGAGTATACTTTGGTGATTACTGATATGTTTTACCTTATTTCACTGCTTCTAATCAATTACTAATTCTTTTATTGTGTTTCATCTGTATGCAGCCATGCAAGGATGCACCAACGGTATGTTATTGCCTCTATTTAAGTGCACGGTATTGTGTTGATATCTAGACTATGATGTTTGGATGTCAATGCGAGGGATACAAGTATATCAAAATTAACTTTGAATGAGATACTGAAAGACGGATATAATAGCTTGCGGTTTAATAGACATTGCAGCTCTAAATGAAGCATAATGAAACAATAGAATTATCATAGTTGAGCCCGAATTGTCCATACGAGGTTTTGTTGAATTGAATTTAGTTTAGTATGGACCAGGGTAATTTACAATGACTGTGACTCGTGCCATGTAATTTGGTTGTGGCAGGCTTTAACCTTCTATAAGGGCAAGAACTTGATTGTGAAGAACCTGAAGATCCAAGATGCACAACAAATTCATGTTTCTTTTCAGAAATGTGTGAATGTTCAAGTCTCTAATCTCATTGTGACTGCGCCAGAGAAGAGCCCCAACACTGATGGAATCCATGTCACANAGATCCAAGATGCACAACAAATTCATGTTTCTTTTCAGAAATGTGTGAATGTTCAAGCCTCTAATCTCATTGTGACTGCGCCAGAGAAGAGCCCCAACACTGATGGAATCCATGTCACAGACACCCAAAACATCCAGATTTCTAACAGTGTCATAGGAACAGGTATATCTAAAATTTCATCAACATATTGAACAAAGCTGATGCAAAATTTACTTTTAAAAAATTACACTTTCACCCCTTAACTATGGACTAATTTCACTGTATCCCTTGAACTATTGAATTTTTTGCATTGCTCCTCAACTATTCGTATTGATTTCTCATTTCTCCAAATTCAAATGTATATTATCTTTTTGATGGAAATTGTCAACTTTTCGAGTGCAAAGGGAAACAAAACATATTTTTGGGGGGCAAAATGAAACAACCTCTCTCCAAATTTGTAATGGACATTAACAATTGGGGCAGTGTAAAACAAATAACACAGCTAAAAGTGCAATGTGAAAATATAATAGTTGAGGGAGCAATGGAACAAAAGTGTCATAGTTAAGGGGTCATAGTGTATTTTGCCTACTTTTTTCAAAAAATGAAAATCATTTCAACAATGCACCATTTGCACTGATGGTTGCAGAATGAAACTTGGATTCATGTAATCCCTATGCGTTTATGCCTCTCTCTCTTCAACCACTGAACTATTCTTTCCTGGTTGCTGATGCAAAACTATAACTTACAAGTAAATTTGATTTATATGTTGAAGGGGATGATTGTATTTCAATTGTAAGTGGATCCCAGAAGGTACAGGCTATGGACATAACCTGTGGACCAGGTCATGGAATCAGGTTTCATATTCAAACCTCTAACAACATACATATATACAGTTCAAGTGAACATTTTCTAACATAGTGTATTAAAGTACTCCACAATTGTCTTGTTTTTTTGACGGTGAGCTAAGTATTGGAAGCTTAGGATCTAAGAATTCAGAAGCTTATGTTTCTGATGTAACGGTGAATGGAGCTACACTTTTTGGAACAACAAACGGAGCGAGGATAAAGACATGGCAGGTAGGGATGCCAATTTTATTCATTGACATAGACATGAAATGAATCTGACAAATCATGAAACCCAAAAAAAACATGACCAATTGACACATATAATAAATAGGCTAAATTAAGATTAGACACAAATAACACATTTAACTAGTACTATAAGCAAAAAATTAGAATTTTATAATTTTTTTNCAAATAACACATTTAACTAGTACTATAAGCAAAAAATTAGAATTTTATAATTTTTTTTAAAATTTTTTTAGGTTATTTACAATCTACCCCTCCAACTATGTCCCTTGTTACAATTAGCGCTCTATGGTTTCAAATATTGTAATTTGTCCCTCAAAGTTTTAAGTGGATTAAATTGACTAATAACAGTTATTAAATACTTGAAAGAACCATTATTCCCCCTGTCTTGTACATCATTTTTCATATTTATTTTTCTTGAGATACCAATTTTTTTCCCTCAAAAAAATAAGAAAACAGAAAAGCCAAAGCTAAAAAATAAAAAAACTTTCGCCTTCGCATCATCATAGGAAAGGGAAGGTTTCTACCGAAAGGGGGGAAGAAAATGATAGTTAACCATCTGAGTTAGGGGAGGATGGAAGGGTATAAGGGTAACAGGGAGAAAATAGGTGTAAGAGTAATTATATATTTTCAACAAAGTAGGGATCACGTAAATTTGATATGTGTAACTTTTGTCAATTTTTATTGTCTAAAAATAACTATAGGAGTTAATTACAAAATATTTAAACTTAAAGTGGTCTATTTGTTGAAATTAAAACCTAAAACTACCCAAAGTTGAAGGGGATATTTTATAATTAACCCAATTTTTTTTTTTTACATAATATCATTTGAGTTTTATTATAATTAAATAATTTGTATTGATAGGAATAAAAATGATACGACACGATACGATTGACACCTAAATAAGAAATATTCTTGAAACGCAATGCATGCATACGTATAGTGTTGCTCAACTGCTTTGGCACCTCATTTTAGATTTAATTGGGCCAATCTCTCAAAATTAGTTTGGGGCGGTAGAAAAACTAGTATAACCTTTTATTAGGAGTAGGGATTCCGATTCAAACTGTTAATCGGATACAAAATCGACACAAAATTATTGAGTATACGTTTGACTTTATGGAATTTGTGTAAAAAATTGTGTTTCATCAGTTTGATCTAAATTTGTCAATACAAATATACATGACTTACACGCAGAATATGTAACTTACGACACAAGCTTGACTATAAATAGATCATCTATGAGTTAAACTAATTTTAAAGATATTCGGTGTGACTTTTGTCCCTCAACTTTTTATTGTCATTTTTTTTTATAAAGTTTTTATGATATATTTTTTTTTGGATTTTGTACAAATAATTAGCAAAAGTGAGTATGACTTCTTTTACACTATTTCTATTTTCTTTATGGTTGACCTCTCTTCATGTCTCAACACATATGCAGGGAGGATCTGGAAGTGCCAGCAACATAAAGTTTCAGAACATAGTCATGCACAATGTAACCAACCCTATAATTATAGACCAAAATTACTGTGACCAAGCTTCACCATGTACAAAACAGGTAGAAAGGCCAACCCTATAATCATGACCATTTTTCTCACGTTGCACCTCAAATATCATATTTTTCACATCGTGTCTTCAATTATATTATATATTTCATATTGCCTAATGATTAATATCTACTATAAATTTGACGAAAAGTTATTTTATTTTATAAACTATGTGATTTTGTTTCAATTTGTCCTGACACATTTATATCTTTTGTTTAAAAGATTATGGATGTTTGAGATTAGAGCAGTGTGAAATAGATTCAAATAGTTGAGGAGACAATGTGAAAAAATTAATAGTTCCAGGACGAAGTAAAATCGAGTCGACAGTGCAGGGGGGCCAAAATAGAATTTGCCTTTACTAATATAAATCTTTAATCTAACGCAGGGCTCAGCTGTTCAAGTCAAAAATGTGGTTTACCAGAACATTAAAGGAACAAGTACTTCAGATGTGGCCATAAAATTTGATTGCAGTGAGAGCTTTCCTTGTCAAGGAATTGTGCTACAAGATATCGACCTAATAAGAGAATCAGGTGGAGCAGCCAAAGCTACGTGCAGCAATGTCAACCTAAATGAAATAGGAGCTGTTTCCCCACAGTGCCCTTGAGTTGGAGAGCGAGTTCTGAAAAAGGTCAGAAAACCTTATCCCCATTTTGGAGACGGTGATTTCGGAACTCAAACCCACAAACATATCATTGAAAATAATACTATCTTGAAAGAAATTCAACTAGATTATACTCCACTGACTATATACATTTTTTTTCTTGGTTATTGTTTCAATTTCAGAAGATTGGAGTTGCAGGAAGGACTCGTTGGCTTTTACATCCATACTTTTCTAATGGTTAATAATTGGTGTACAGATTGCAGAAAAATTATGAATGATTTGTTATTTGTTTACTACAGAATAAGCTTCATTGTCATCTGAAATATAAGTACATTACTTGTAAATGTTTCTTATAAACGTAAGTAATTAAATTCTTTGTGACAGCTTAATTTTTCTTTTTTAATTTCTTGTTTGGTGAGAAGGAAAGTAATACTAGTCAGCAGTATTACATAGTGTAATTATCAACTAATAATTAAATAAGTCAGCAAATGAGTTACACAAAAATTCATAACTACCTAGTTATGTAATACATTACCACCCCCATGATAGGAAGTGGATCCTGTTTTATCCATTTTATAGTTTTTTTTATTGGATGGTTATTTTTGGGTTATAATCAAGACGAATATTAGTATATCTAAATTCATAAACTATGATATAATCTTTTTTTTTATAGTCAAAATAGGGGTGGGAGTAAAAGAGAGCACTCAGAGACCATCTCGATAGACTCTCATTAGTGAAATCATAAGACTCCTGAGAACGAACATAGATAGTCTAACCTAGCGATCAATTATCGAGCCTTAATGTGGGCTTCGAGACTCGAATCTCAAACCTTAGGGTGAGAAGTTCAACTAGTATCCCACTGAGCTACTCCAATCGGTGTAAACTATGATATAATCAAACGAATATTAGTATATCTAAATATAAATTCATAAGCTATGATATTGTGGTTCTGAATTCATATTCAAATCATCAATAAAAAATACTATTCTGTGTCCGATTAATCGAATCCAAATTATAATCTGATTTATTGACATGTTTAGTTGCTACTGACATTATATTGACATTCTTTCCTTTTTTATTTGTTCATTTGTAGATAGCAACTAATGAAATTCGAACTAAATTGTTCATTGGTTGCTTTAGATTGATTATTTATGCAAATGCAATACTTAAAACCCAATAAGAGTTAAAACCACTCATTTGGACTAACATTTTATTATCCCTTGAAATTATTAAACATTTTCTTGTAATTTATTAGCCTAGAAAACACTAAATCTTCATCAAGAAGATGTAAAAAACTTAATCAAGACAAAAAATTAATGTTTAAAAAAAAAAAACTTTTACTATATCCCTTCACATCGCTTTTATAACAAGGGAATATCCATATATATAACTTTGGTAAGAAGGGTTTCAACAGATTCATGTCTCTTCCAATAAACTTTTATTTTTAATTTATAGTAATGATATATTAACTTCGATATACATATGTGTTTTTCTTATTATTATACGATAAATAATAGTATTAAAATAACAAAAATATATTAAAAAATATACACGTTTGAAACCGAATATCTTTTTTTAACCGTAAAAGAATAATTCGTTCTACGCTCATTATGCGGTTAAGTATCTATTTATATTTATCTTCCCTTGAAAAGGCAAAATAATTTTGATGCGATCTCTTTCGTTCTCTTCTTTGACATAGACACTATGATTGGTCTGTGTTTATCTTAGTGTTTTAAAACCCATCTTGGCCTGGCGGGTTGACCCGATGTCTAAACCGGGCCGATTCACCTATCGGATTGTTTATACACCAAATTCGGAGTAAACCCGACGACTCAAAAAAAACAAACCCGGTAAAAATCGCCAAACCGATTGAGTTTCTTTATTTAATATAAAAATTGAATTTGAGCATTTTTGGCATTTTTGCCTTTCTGCCCTAATCGTTCCTTCCCCGTTCCCCCAACCAGCCTCTCTCTTTCTCTCTTACACACACCTTCACTATTTCTTCACTGCCCTAAGCTTCCATGGTTGATAGTTCACACCTTCACTGCCCTAATCGTTCCTTCACCTTCACTGTTTTCAGAGCATACCCATGGAGTGGGTACGTGGTGGCCATGGAAGCTTTGAGATAGTCGATCTTGCTATACCCAGAAGCCAGAGCCCACAAATTCCTCCATTAATGATCGTGAAATCTTGTGATGCTTCGCACTCTGTTTTGTTGATGAACGAAAAGATGGTATTGGAGGGTTTTTAGCTGATAAAATTGTACAATGTCTTGTTGGAGTACGCTTCTGGATCTAGAGGGTCTTTAGTTGATGAGCTTAAACATTCCAGTGAACATCGGTTATTGGAATCAAACATCCGGCGATACATGAAGTCATTACTAAGAGGACTTCACTATATTCACATGAATGGGTATGTTCACTGTGATATTAAGCTTCAAAACATTGGTCTCTCAGTTTGTGGGTTACATTTTTTTTTTTGGTGGGTTACAATATTATTAGGATGTTATTGATATTAGAAATTTCTAGGCTTGAAATTGATTTTAAATATATGGTTGTTTTTTATGTTGTGAAATGAGATGATGTTGAATTTATTGCCTTATGAATCTTAATTTATGCTTTGAAGAGTGCAAATTACATGGATTGAATGATTGATGCATAGTCAAAGACTGGGACTTGGAGTTTTGAAGTTAAATAGAGGTATTTTTTTTCTACTTACTTTTAGATTTACAAATTGTATTAGAAGTTAAATGCAGTGGATACATGTTTGATGATTTTTCTTTACTTAACTTTACATGTTTGTTACTATTATCATAATTATTGTGTGTTTTTAACTTATTTATTATTATTTATTTTTTTATTACATGACCGGTTGAATCAGTGATCCAACGGTTGAACCAGTGATTCATTGACTTGATCCCTCTGCCGGATTGATGTCCGGACTAAGTTTTAAAACTATGATTTATCTATTGATACTGTTTTCATGTTTTATCCGAGGAGAATTACAATTCCGACAAATTCGTTTGTCTCTCTTTGTGTGCTTGGACTAACTTCTTTTTGACAAATTCTCTTGGAACCAAAAGAGTCACAATCACTCAATGGAACACAGACACCCATTTTCTATGCTTTCACCCCTGGGATTGAAGGAGAGAGAGGGCTTAAGGGTCAAATTTGTCAGGTTGTGATTCTCCTTTGGAAGCATGGAAGTAGTAACAGCTGATGATCGGATCCCCATGTGTCTATGTCCGAGAAGAAAACGGGAACTGATCGGAAATTCCACCGGAAACGGCTCTCTTTTTTAGCTAATGGTCAGATTCTGGCAACGCACTGAATTGGTAGGTTCTCCTAGAAACCCTAATCCGATCATGGTTTCCTATCATTTGTTTTTATAATTGTGCCCAAATTGATGGATTGAGTGGCTCGATTCGATTTTCCAAACCCTAACCCTAGTTTCGTATATGGTTCTCATATTGTCTGTTCTAATTATTCATCTTTGAATTATCTTTTCTCTAATTGTTCTAATTATGCATTTGGGGTTTTATTTTGATCCTATATGTAACCTGTTAGTTTAATTTGGTTCTTGAAGCTGCTAAGTGATGCTTTTATGTTAAATTCTTTAAGCTTCCCTAATTTACATGTTTCTTTGTTAAATTTCTGGTAATTGANATATGTAACGTGTTAGTTTAATTTGGTTCTTGAAGCTGCTAAGTGATGCTTTTATGTTAAATTCTTTAAGCTTCCCTAATTTACATGTTTCTTTGTTAAATTTCTGGTAATTGATGCCATGGGTTTATTATGTTTACAGAGGAATGGTGATGAATCTTAGCAGTGTTTTTTTTTGTTTTTGGTTTGCTGCAGTCAGTCAAAATCTCCTATATTTATTTGTACATCATCTCAAGCGGAAACTTAAATATGAACTACATGACTATTAATCTATAACTGAAATTTCATGAATGCACTTAGTCGAGCTCGAAGTTTCATATCTTGATTTCTTGTGAATTTTGCCTTTGTACACCGAACAAAAGGTTCTTTCTGTTCCGATATTTGAACGCAAAGGCTTCAATGAACCAGCCAGGAGTTTTTTTTTTTAAAGAAAATGTTATTCCACTGAATTTTGCACTTCATTCTGGCCATAGTTGTCCATTTTGTTGAAACATGTTTTTGTAGTACTTAAGAGTAATAATTTCTCTCATGAAACAATGCTGTTTTTGTTTGCGTTGTATTTTTGAGGATTGATCATATTGTTGTAGATTCTATTCTTGTGGACATTTCAAATTAAGTCTTATCTCAAAGTGAAAGTTCCATCTAACAAAAATGAAGAAATCAAAGAACTTTATGTAAACAACTCAATCACTGGTAGTAACATCATTAATTGTGGGTTGAGTTACTGCCAGACCTCTGTGTTTGTATGCATCTGTGCTTGGATCAGAGAGAGAGAGAGAGAGAGAGAGAGAGAGAGAGAGAGAGAGAGAGAGGCATACATGGTATATTTTCATGTTTTCATGTAAGCATACACGCTTTAAAGGGTAAAGTTGTGCAAATAATAGATAGGTGTGTAGGTGGTGCCAACTTAGTTGTGATATTCTATTATGATGCAGTTTCTTCCCTATTCATAAATAAAATTATTCATTATTTAGTTTTTGTTTATTTTGACTGTACTTTTAATTTAAAAATATAATTTACAAAAAAACAAAGTTAGAAACTTTTTAAATGAAGATGTATAAATATGAAAAAAGGCTCGCCTGCAAAGCCCGGCCCGACAGGTAAGGACATGGGCCTACTCTTACCTAGGCCCAACCTAAAAAAAATTTCACGGGCCTAGGCCATCCGACCCATAGTTGCCCCTATTTAATTACAACACCTAAATTACTTTAAATTTAAAAATGGAGAGTCCACTAGAGAGCATCCAAATATGTGATGTGGTCTGTGGCATAATTAAACTGATTTTTCTTTCCAAATTACGCCTGGATTTTAACTTAAATTTGTTAAGTAATCATTTAATTTCATCATATACATAAAAATATATAGACACAATTTATGTCATTTGGGATTATAATGATTTTTGTCCCAAAATTAGGTTGGTAGCCACTTTTTAAAATTTATTTAACTTTTAATCATAACACATATTTTTTTATCTCTTTAAACTTTTTTTTGCCACGCTAATTCTTTAAATTGATTTAATATAATTAAGGATAATTTAGGTAGTTGAAAAAATTGTCTTATGACTTTACTTTTTTTTAAACAATAGAATGATTTTTTTTTTAAAATTTGCTTGCAAGTTTTTTATGCTTACTAAATACATGCATCTTTTCATGTTTTTCTTTACATCACTTTCTATCACCTTTATTTTCCATTATTCTTTTCTTCCTAAACAAACCTGTACAATGCACGAAATTTGGACAATTCTTATAACCATGTTAAAATGATGTTAATTTAAATTTTAAATAGCTAAAGAAAGATAATTAAAATTAATTTTAAAAAATGATGGGAATGGTACAAAAGACACATGGAATAATTTAATTAGAGTGAGCTAATTAAATATTTTAAAACTCTAATAATTAAGTATTTAAGGAGGGAATTATGGGCCTCTCTCCTTAATTTGATTGTAATATATAAATATATATACTAAAAAGCAACAAGGCCGAAACCAAGTAACTGTTCTTGATAGTGAAAAAATAGTTTGTTTTGTACTCACTATACCATTGTATATCTAGTTGTATAATCTTTGTGAAAAGACAAAATATTTTTCAAGCGATCCCTTTAGTTCTCTTCTTTTGCATAGACGTTATGATGGGTCTATGTTTATCGATGTTTTATTGGAGGATAATTACAATTTTGACAAATCCGTTTTATCTATTGTTGTTCTCTGTACTCAAAATAACTTCTTTTGTTTGTTTCTCTTTACACCGAAACGCATATACAAAAACACCCAAATCGCAAAAATTAACACACACAAACACCCATTTTCTATGCCTTCACTCCTAGGATTGAAGGAGAGATAGGATTAAGGTCAAATTTGTCAGGATTGTGATTCTCTTTTGGTGGCATGGAAACAGTGACAACAGATGATCAGATCTTCATGTGTCTATGACCAAGAAGGAAACGGAAGTGATTGGCGATTACACCGAAAATGGCTCCACTCTTCAAAATCTGGCGATGCTCTGAGTTGGTAACTTGGTTCTCCTGGAAACCGTAATTGGATCAAGGTTTCCTATGATTTGTTTATATGATACTAAACCCTTGCCCTAATTTGTGCCCAAATTGATGGAGTGAAAGGCTATATTGCATTTCAAAACCCTGATTATAGTTTCTGATATGGTTCTGAAGTTTTCTGTTCTAATTATGCATTTGGGATTTATTTTTTCTGGAATCCTCTTAGGGATATTGTTCTAATTATGCACTTGGGGGTTTATTTTGATCCTTTCTATGCCTGTTGTTTGTTTAATTTGGTTCTTTAAACTGCTAAGTGATACTTTTACGTCAAATATGCTGAGCTTCCCCAATTTACATGCTTTCTTATTTAATTTCTGCTCATTGATGATAGGGGTTTATGTACAATGTTGACATGTGATGAATCTTAGCAGAGGGGTTTATGTTTAATGTTGACATGTGATGAATATTGGCAGAGATTCTTAAATTTGTGTAGTCAATCCAAATCTCCTTAGAGAAGGGTTCTGATATTTTGGATGCAAAGGCTTCAAGATTCCAGTCAGGAGTGTTTTTACTGAAATATTATTCCACTTCATTTTTCAGTTCATTCTTAAAATATTTATTCATTTTTTCAAACATGAATGTCTACTATAATTAGACAGTAATTACTTGTCTCTCAAAACTATGTTATTTTTGTTTCCTTTTCTGTTTAGAAGACAGTCATAGGGTAGTAGATTCTGTTCTTTGGATTTTAAAATTTGTATTATTTGAAATCTGAAGTAGATACAAAGTTATCAAGATCACCACACCAATCAATGACATGGTATAAGCTCAGTTGGCAAACACAAATCTTCCATGTCCAAGGAACAAGAAATCCAAAGAACTTTGTTTAAATGACTCAAATACCGATAATAACGTCAAATTTCTTCAAGTTAATTAGCTGTGTTTTGAGTTATTACCAAATCTGTGTTTGTATGCATCCGTGCATGTAAAGCAGAGAGAATGTGGGAAAGAGAGAAGGGGAGAGACAGAGAGATGGAATGGTGTCAACAATGTGGAAAATAGGTACTAGTACTTTTTACTGTAAGAGCTGATGCAGGAGAAAAAGACGAAAATGCAAAATTTGGTCATGCGGTAAAAAAAGAATTGAAGAGAGGGACAGATTGGATAGAGAGAGTCAACTACATTGCTGGGAAAGAATTCCTGTAGTTAGAACTGTTTATGGAAAAGAAGGTGGTAGAGAAATTTGTAGCAGCGGGAAAGATAGAGAGAAAGAGAGAGGATGGTTATAGATCCATCACAATTTTTTACTATCCAAAATGATTGATCTTCTACAGTAATATATCCATTCGCGTGATTAGAAAATGGCATCCAGAATGCAACACAGAATGCCATTTTCTTGCTATGTCATATTTTTCTAATGAACTTTGCTGAATTTCAAACTAAGGAACATCCAGAAGTACAACCTATTTATGTTTTGATATTTCCCTCTTCAAGTTAGTAGATCCTAAGAGAAAGCCAATGTTGGAAATTGTTGTTGGATTGTACTCGTATGCTCTTATTATTTTCTCGACTGTATGTTTCACAAGTGGTTGTTACATAGACTCCATTCCTTAACAACATGTTATGAGAATTGGCCTACTTAAGCATTTCGTGGACGTACAGAATAAAGTCACTACCCCTTGCAATGGAGAGAAATGAGGCCATATCTTCAATTTCCTTCTGAGAGCAGGATGTAAACTAATCTATCTTCTTAATTTGTCACAGAGCTTAGTTGTTCAAGTCAAAAGGGTGGTCTACTAGAACAGTAACGAACAAGTGCTTCTGAGTGCAGTGAAAACTTTCCTCGTCAAAGAATTGTGTTGCAAGATATCAGCACTGTAAGAGAAACAGGTGGAGGAGCCAAAGCTTGATGGAGCAACTTCGATCGCCACAGTGCCCTTTCGGAGGAGCACGCGGAGCAGGGTCTAGAAAAGGTAAGTGAGACATAACTTCGTTCTCATTTGGGAGATAATGATTTTGTCACTTGAATCCATGTCGTAAATAATATCATGTTGCGTAGAAATCAAATAAATTATTTCTTTTCCTTTTTCTTGGTAATTATTTTAGATTTCATTAGAAGGTTGGAGGTGTAGGCAGGACTCATTCGTTCTTCCATGGATTTTTAACATTAGTACTTCAATTCTTTGTATCATAACAAGCATGCTTAATTTTTTTTTAAACTTTTTTCGTTGGAGCAAAATCAAAGCGATGGCTTCACTTGGTCCATGGGCATAGAGACAGAGAAAGAGAGAGAACAATTGGTCCATGGGCATAGAGACAGAGAAAGAGAGAGAACAAAAAAAGTAGTGTTGAATTAGCAATTAGTGCCGCCGTACCCGGTGCTCGTGACTCCCGCAACTACCATTGTGGGTCTGAGGATTAGAAATTAGTCCCGGTACAAATTGAAGTCAGTTATTATTCCAGAGTTAATAACATATTAAATCCTTGAATTAGGTACAAATTACATTATTAATGGTGGATTTTATTCTTTCTTTTTTGTGGAATTCAGTGTTAATTTACTAACTCTAATGGGTCCTCAAATTAAGTCAAAAGAGATTGCTTTATGGAAAATTGATGTGATGTACACAAGAATGCTGTGGAGAAAATCATAAAGCTATCAATATGCCACCGATAAATAAATATATCAGCACCGCCACAGGGCCAAGCTTTTAAGGTAAATTGCATTTATACACCTTAAACTATCACCTTTTTTTACACTTTGTCCCTCAATTACTAGATTTCTCACAATTCACCATCAACAAATAAAATTTTTTACTCAAACATTAACTTAAATTTTAATAAAAATTTTGATCCAAATTAGGGATGGTCTCAGACTGTAGAACTTATAAAATTGGGTTTTTAAAACCCAACCATTTTTGCGGTTATTAATTTAATGAGCCTATTTACTTGCGAGTTATATTATTGAAATTTAATTTTAAGCTTAATTTACCTGTAAATAGAGAGCCAAATCAGCCTAATCCATGAGAAATGTGTACACATATGATTACAAATTCTATTGGTGTAGATATTCTTTATTTCTCTCAAATCTTTTTACTCATGATTATAGCTTCAAATCAAAATTTGGAAAACCGAACACATATTTAGGCTAATAAGGATGAACTAGTGATTTAACTATCATAAAAAAACTGAATTCTTGATAACTATTCAACTTTATTATAAGGTTTGAAATTTTATAAAAGATAGATGATAGTTGTTCAGAAGAAAGCTACTCAATAGGAGATTCTAAGAGTATGTATCTATGCACGCACTTACACACGCATACACAAAAACAAAAACGTCTAAAGCATGATGATTTGCCTTATTTTTTTCCTATTTTTTCATTGCAATCAAGAGTCGAATAGAAAGAGATAGGGGAGATAAGGGAAGAATGAGCATCTGTGGTAACATGGACCCCCAGAGTACAACCCATAAAATTGGGGATTTCTAAAACCCAACCATTGTGATCGTTATTAATTTTGATGAGCCTATTTATTTCTCAATTATATTTTTGAAATTTAATTTTACCGTATGCTTACAAATTCCATTGTTGCATGTACTCTCTCTCTCTCTCTCTCATTCTCTCTCTCTCTCTCTCACACACACACACACACACACACACACAATCCTTTAACTCAAGATTGTGGCTTTAACTCAGATGTTGGAACGCCAAACGCATACTTAGGTTAATTAGAGTGAACTAGTGATTTAGGTATCCGAAAAAAAATTGAATTTTTTATTCAAGTTTATTATGAGGTTTGAGACTTTACAAAAGCTAACAGAAGAAAGCTACTCCAAGGGAGATGTTAAGAGTATATATTCACATTGTCACTCACATACGCATATGCAAAATCGTCTAAAGAGGGATGCTCTGCATTCTCTTTCTTTTTCTTTTTCCCTTTTCCCTTTTCCCTTTTCTCTTTTCTGGAGTGCAGGCTTTAGCCCTTTGTTTTGTTGTATTTCTGTTAGGAGTTGAATGAGGAGAGAGACAGAGGCGAGTGAAGTGAAGAAGACAATAAGCATCTGAATGTACTAAAGTACAACTTTTATTTTCTTTTTAAATTACTTGGGTGGGACACTTCTCTAGATGCCTTACTGGCTTGAACTAAAGGAAATTCTCTGTTTAGACATTATGTAGATGCATGGGTGTGACTAAATTAGAATTGTTAATGGATTAAGTTCGTGTCATATATAAANGTTTTGCCTTATTTTTTTCCTATTTTTTCATTGCAATCAAGAGTCGAATAGAGAGAGATAGGGGAGATAAGGGAAGAATGAGCATCTGTGGTAACATGGACCCCCAGAGTACAACCCATAAAATTGGGGATTTCTAAAACCCAACCATTGTGATCGTTATTAATTTTGATGAGCCTATTTATTTCTCAATTATATTTTTGAAATTTAATTTTACCGTATGCTTACAAATTCCATTGTTGCATGTACTCTCTCTCTCTCTCTCTCTCACTCTCTCACTCTCTCTCACACACACACACACACACAATCCTTTAACTCAAGATTGTGGCTTTAACTCAGATGTTGGAACGCCAAACGCATACTTAGGTTAATTAGAGTGAACTAGTGATTTAGGTATCCGAAAAAAAATTGAATTTTTTATTCAAGTTTATTATGAGGTTTGAGACTTTACAAAAGCTAACAGAAGAAAGCTACTCCAAGGGAGATGTTAAGAGTATATATTCACATTGTCACTCACATACGCATATGCAAAATCGTCTAAAGAGGGATGCTCTGCATTCTCTTTCTTTTTCTTTTTCCCTTTTCCCTTTTCCCTTTTCTCTTTTCTGGAGTGCAGGCTTTAGCCCTTTGTTTTGTTGTATTTCTGTTAGGAGTTGAATGAGGAGAGAGACAGAGGCGAGTGAAGTGAAGAAGACAATAAGCATCTGAATGTACTAAAGTACAACTTTTATTTTCTTTTTAAATTACTTGGGTGGGACACTTCTCTAGATGCCTTACTGGCTTGAACTAAAGGAAATTCTCTGTTTAGACATTATGTAGATGCATGGGTGTGACTAAATTAGAATTGTTAATGGATTAAGTTCGTGTCATATATAAATTATATTTAGTTAAATTTGTGTCAAACTACAATTCACTTATTTAGTAGCCGAACAAAAAGAATGTTTGAGAAAGAGGGGGTATTTTATATTAATGTTCAGATCTTGTCTTTTTTTTCTTTAATTTTTTTTTGGGAAATTTGGAGGCCGGTCCTCCTATATGGACTTGTTTGAACTTAAGTCCGTTAAGGAAACTTATTTGTTATGAAGTCTATTTTTTTGTCAATTTTACCATATTATCCATTCCCTTTAAAAGTGAAATAAAACTAAACATTAAAAACTCCTAAATCTTAGGAGTTTGACTAACATTAAAATTTTTTCTCTCTTATCTATCTCTCTCTCTCTCTCTCTCTATATATATATATATATATATATATAGTAACATTGAAAATAAAAAATAGTAATATTCAAATACAAAAAAAAAAATTATCATTTGGACACAAAAAATAATACATTTAAACACAAAAAAAATAGTAACATTTAAACATAAAAAAAATTGAAACATTCAATATTAATATTTTAAAAAAATAATAACAGTAACATGTTTAACAAAAATATTAACATGTTCAACAAAAATAGTAACATACTTAAGAAAAACTGTAACATACTTAACAATAATTATTTCTTTCAAATTCAAAGGCAAAAAATAGTACAATTCAAATACAAAAAATAGTAATATTCAAAAAAAAATATAGTAATATTGAATATTAATATTTAAGAAAATAATAGTAGTAACATGTTTAACAAAAACAGTAACATGTTCAAAAATAATAGTACATGGACAGTAACATATTCAACAAAAGCAGTAACATAAAAAGTAACATAACAAAAAATAATAATAACATGAATTGAATTTTTCTATTCAAATTCATAGTAATATTAATATTAGTAAAACTCTTAACCTATACATGGATATAGGTAGATATGAGAGAAAAGAAAGGTATTTTTGAGGTAAAAAAATGGACTTAAGTTATCACATTTAATTTTAAATATAGACTTAGTCCCTTATAAGTTTCCTTACAGGACTTATCTTCAAACAAGTACATTTTGGGAGATTCACTTCTAATTTTCACTTTTTTTTTCCCAAATGTGATTGCCAAAGACTTTGTGGAGTGAATTTTGGGCCGAATCAGTTCAAATTTTTTGGTTGGATTAATCTTTTGTTAGTTTCACTATTGGACCGCTGTGGCCAATCTGAGAAATAGAATTTATGTATTATACCTTGTGAAAATTACTAAATCTTTTTTTTTTTTTTTACAGTAAAGAAACATATGGCTTCAAAAATGAGGTTGAAATCTTAGACATTGTAGTTTGGAGGTGTGACTTTGGTCATTAGGCTAGTTCGTGATGGCTCCAAGTCTCTTTATTTATTGATAAACAATTAAAAAAGAATATTCTTTTCCAAAAACCAAACAAGTGTAACATTTAGCTTTTCCTTTGTTTTTTTTTTAAAGCAATTAGTCAATTACTAGCCTTGCATTGCAAGCGATGGAGTGTTATTGACAAACCAAGATGCAGTCAAGATGTGGGAGATGAGGATCCATGTAACTTATGTTGAGGGTGCAAGTACTTAATATAATTTCTTAAATTCTGAAAAGGCAGGGTGCCACTTGATTAAATAGAAAGTCGAAGAGCGGTTTTTCATTCGGAGTCCCATCATTGCATCTCCTCATCTTCTGCACCTACCTCTCTCTCTCTCTCTCTCTCTCTCTCTCTCTCATACTTCCAAAGATGGAGAAGGTTGAACATTTTAGCCATATACACCCATTGATCTGCACGGAAGTGCGCGAGGTCAACTTGTATATTCACTGCTACATGTGCAGAAAGTCGATCTCAGATGTTGTGTACTGGTGTGACAAATGTGATTGCTATTTACATAAAAGGTGTGCAGAACTTCCTACAAAAATCGAAGACCCCTTACACCGCCAGCATCTTCTAACTATGCGTGGAGATTTTCAAGAAAATGTCTGTACTTCTCTCTCTTTCATGTTTGGTTCTCGTTTGTATCCTGTTAATGAGGATTACAGATGTAGTCTCTGTAGAGAATCTCGGGGAGGAAATCATGATTGTTTCTTCTATAATTGTGTCGATTGTGAGTATTATATTTGCCTCCCATGTTACTTGGAGCAACGTGTAATTATGTCCGAATTTCATGAGCACCCATTAACCTTCCTATTTAGGCCAGCTTCGTTTTATTGTAATGCTTGTGATAAGGAAAATAATGACTCATCATCCTACATATGTCACACCTGTAACATTTGGATCCACAAAAGTTGTGCTTCATTTCTTAGTACCATCCAATTTGATGATCAACATCACCCTCTCACTCTTGTCAAACTACCTTCATCTGACTTATCCAAGTCAACATACATTTGCAAGATATGTGGTACTAAAATCTACCCAAGGAAAGAGAATTGGCTATATTATTGTGCTCTCTGCGAATATAGTATCCATGTGAGATGCTCAATTTCAAGGTCAAAGCTGTTGAGGTAAGTTCAATCATTTCGTTTGTTTTTTTTTCGTTACAATGTTTTTATTATTGCTGTGTAAATTTGTCTTTGGGGTTTTGTGGTTGCAGAGATGGTGAAAGTGAGAATAAAAACAATGAACATCTCTACCATCATCTGGTACACTTTCCATTGACTGATGATTTCGTGGTTCTCGCTAGACATCCAGCTGCACAGATTAGTCATGAGGAGATTAACAGAGAAACAAATATCAAACATTGGAGCCATGATCATCAGCTAATACTTTATGATGGGCAAAATAACACTGTGACAAAGCATGAGATGAAGCACGACATAATATCATGCAACGGCTGCGTGCAAAGGATCGCGCTTCCATTTTACAGTTGTGATCGATGCAACTACTTTCTCCATATAAGTTGTGTCAACTTACCAGCTGAGTTAGAACGCCCAAATCACAGTGCCCACCTATTTTGGCGCTCTCGTGGAACAAAACCTCATTCTCTCTTCAAATGCAGATCTTGTAGTTTATATGGCAATGGATTCTTCTACGCCGTTGTTGACACCGGTTACTTGGCCTTTTTCATCCGCGGCGAGGCCCTACCCACGCTTCATCTCAAATGTACTTTCCTACCTAATACTATTCTGCATGAAGCCCACGAGCATCCTTTGGTTCAAATCAGCCATTTACGTATTGAGTGCAGGGCATGTCACGTCACGTGCCATGGGATAGGATACAGATGTAATAAGAAGTGCAATTTCGGTATATGCTTCCATTGTGCTCTTTTACCACGTACCCTAAGACACAGATGGGATGCACATCCTCTCATTCTAAGTTATGCCCCTATCAAAGACCATCCTGATGAATACTATTGCGAAATTTGTGAGATAGAAATAAAGTCAGGGTGTTGGATCTATCATTGTCGTGATTGTGACCAATCTTTTCATCCTGAATGCGTTCAGGATAAATATTCAAACGTCAAATTTGGAGGCACCCACAAAGTGGAAGATCACCCACATCCACTCACCTTTACTCGAAGGGTGAAGAAGGTTACAAATTATAATTGTGGTCACCCGTTTGATGATGAAAAGCCACTTTACGAATGTGCAGAGTGTCATTTTACGATTTGTTTGGATTGTATTCATTGATTCTTTATGTTTTGCATTTGGTAAAAAATTATTACACGAGTTGTGATGAATTCTTAAGTGGAGGGGGTGATATCATGTGTAAGGGATTGCAGTACCATTTAACTTCTAATATTTTGAATACATATATTGATGTGTCTGCTCTATTCTATTTCTACAGGAAAAAAAATGAGAGTTGTTATAAAACTTTTGAGAATGGATTAAGTGTCATATATGGAGAGAATTAATTTTTTTTTTCCATACACGCATATCATGTTTAAAGAGTTTCGAGCCTTGGGCTTTTTAGAAGGAATTGCATCTTAGGTAGAATGACTAAATCCTGATACATCCAATTCATGTTATTTTTATTAAAAAATAAACTCAAAAAAAAATTTGGGGTGCTGAATTCAAATTTTCTTTTAAAAACCAAAAAAGTTAAACATTTTATTTAGAGCAAATTACCACTTCTAATGGCGTGTTACCACATAATTATAACAGATCCCTCGATATTAATTAATCAAACAGAAAATCAGAAGATGTCATAGGGTGTACGGAGGGGCTTTTTATAAATAAAAGTTGGGACCTACAAGGTCATTACCATTGGGGCTAGCATCTTTTGTTCTATGTTTTCTTTTCATTATCTGTTTTTTTTTTTTTTTTAATTTGTACTTTGTTCATAATGCTTTTTGGGATTGAAGGAACTTATTATAATTTTTCTAATATCACTGTCATAGATAAGGAAAAAATGATAAGGTAAGAGCTTAAACCCAAGGTCAATTGCATTTAGAGATCACAAACATATCCAATAATGAAACTACTAAAGTAAGGACTTTAAACTGATGCAATAATGGATCTTCTTTATGAGTGAATGGTCTGTATCCAAAATTCCAGCCCATATGTCTCACACATGCAGTTTTTTTGTTTATTTTNCTCTCAAAGAGTAAATATTCAATGTAACAGTTATACCACGTCTATCACATGGTGTCACCATACAATGCTAAACCAACAAGTGTACAAATTGACACTACTTCTTAATATGGACAGTTATTATCTTACATGAATAGAATAGTTATTAAACTTTATAGGGTTCACTCGTCGACTTGTTGGTTTATCATTGAATTGTGACACCAACTGATAATGTTTTTTTTTTATTTTTTTATTGTTTCTTAAAAGTTACACCACATAATAATGTTGATAGCGTGTAAGTTGTTTAACCATTGCACTTAATAGTTTTTCTACAAATCAATTTTCAACAAATTTTAGCTCTCTTTCCTTGTTAATCAAATGCAGGAAATGGACCAATAAGAAACGGACCAAAAATTCTTACCACAGAAAGTATATTCTTTGTATATCAGATGTTTCCAAAGGGCATATTCCTCATATTGGCAATGTATAATTGTGTTGACCTTGGAAAGTTCTTATAGAAAATCTAACAATGAACCATTCCAAGTTGATCTTTAATTTATCATCACATGCACCTCCATTGACCCCAAGCTCATATGAACCCTATGCCTAAGGATTTAGATCCCTCTATTTATTTATTTTTGATAAATCATTTATGAAATAATTCAATATTAGTGAGTGACTTATTTATTTATACTACTAATAAAAGGTAGTTAAGTGAAAATTTTTTAATTGACTATTACGTCCCTATGAAAAATATTAAAGACACATTATATTCTTATGTATTTAATTATCCAATATCAATATTTATATTTATATCTTCCTATTATAATTGATTTACAACACAATAAATTATATGAATAAATATTAAATAAATAGATAAATGACAACTACATCCCATTGGTCAATTAGTTAGCCGTTAATCTTCCAATTCTTCCTTCATTGACCGACAGCTAGACACAAGTATCCAATGCGTATTGAAGATTATTAATTAACTAGTTATTATCTGTGCTTAAAGACACAAAGTAATAAAAAATGATAAATAATAAATATATTTGTATTCATACCTAAAATTAAATCACAAATATAAAGAAAAGATAAAGTAATTTAAACATCGGTTTGTAGTGAGGGTGAGAGATAGTGGGCGACAGTGGTGGTGGTGGTAATCTCACACAATAAAAGACTGAAACAACAAAAAAGGTGCTAAGCAATCACATGCAACAATCAAGAATCAATCTATGCCCCTTCTTTCCCTCCTGTTAAAAAGTGTAATTAACAACAATCAAACATTAATCATACTCTCTTTCTTTCTCTCCTTAGTTAGAAAACAGAATAAAATTAATATCATTGACCATTCTCTTTCTCTGGACAAAAAGGTGTAAACGAAATTCAGTCTTACTCAATCTAACTTTATTCTAAAACCAAAACAGCAATCAAACAATTTATTCTCATTCCATCTCACCGAATCTCCCCTTTCTTCTTTTCTCCTTTGTATTAAGATAAGGAAGATTAATTAAGGTCAAACTCTATTAGAAAAGGCTACCACTTACGAGAAAGAGAAAAATTTTAAATCTAATTGAATCTCGAGAAAAGATCTCTAGATGAATTTGTTATTAGTAAGAAACAAATTATAGGTGAAAATTCTAAAAATGAGCAAGTAATGAATCCTAAAGAAGTAGAAGATAATTAAATAAGACACTGAAAAGATCATAATGAAATTATCCATAATGATAGCCAAACAACAATATAACAAATTTTGCTGAAAAATATATTATAAAATTTGTAGAACATGAGATCCACAAAACAAGGATGCCAAAGCAAAAAATCTTGTAACAAACAACCCGAGTACAAAGCAAAGCAAAGATTCAAAGTAAAGAATCTGGTTTATAAACAACCCAAGTACAAAGCAAAGCAAAGAATCTTTACAAATTACCCAAAGTACAAAGCAAAGCAAGGATGCCAAAGCAAAAATTCTTGTAACAACCAACCCAAGTACAATGCAAAGCAAAGATCCAGATAGGGTTGTCCATGGGTCAAGCCGGACTCGACTCGTAAATTTTTTTTCAGGCCGAACTTAGGTAGTATAGGTCCAAACCCTTATCCGAATGAGTTATCCGTTAGGCCGGGCCGAACTTCAGGTAGGAGTAAGCTACCCGCAGTCCAACCTGTCACCTATTGGGCGGGCTTAATTGGGCAAGTTTTGTTGCGTCTGTTGGGCGGGCTTGTTGGGCCCTATTGAAAAAAAATATACAATTTTATTTAATTTTTTTGTAAATTATTTTTTTGAATTAAAAATAAAGTCAAAATCACAATGGACAAAAATTAAATAATAAATAATTCTATTTATGAATAGAAGAGAAATTATATCACAATAAAATGAGTACATCTCAACTAGGTTGACACCTACCCACCTACTTATCATTTGTACAATTCTACTCATTAAAGACTTTTATGCATGAAAAACATGTATATTTAATAATACATTATTCATAATATCTAAATTTCTAAAACTTCAAACTCACCTAACTTTCAAAGTTTGATAGAAACTTCTTAAATTTTAAAAAAATTTGTTCGGACTAGACAGGCAGGATTTAACGGGTTTTTGTGAGCAGGTTATTGGGCCACGATTCGGGCTTCGGCCTTCGGCCGAATAGTGGGTTTTTGATTGGGGTTAGATTAGGTAACAGAACCCATGGTAATCCAAACCCATGAACACCCCTAGATCTAAAGCAAAGAATCTTGTTTACAAACAACCCAATTACAAAACAAAGCAAGGATGCCAAATCAAAAATCTAAGACGATGATGGTTAGAACACAACCAACATGACTTTTCGAAATCAACGGATGAACTGCCATGGATGATGACCGAAGATCACAAACTGGTATTTTTTTTGACAAATTGAATTCCTGACAATTATTCAAGTTTATTAATTAAGACTTTACAAAAATCAGAAAATAGTTGTTTAGAAGAAAGTTACTCCAGAGATTTTAAGAGTGAGTTTAAATTTTTCCTGGCTGAAGCGATGGTATCGAGGTAACGAATAGGTAGTTGACAAGTCAGTAATTTATTAAGAAAGAGAAGGCTAATGAATATGACTGCTTGTAGAATTTTAAGCTAATTAAACTGTGGTTTTAATTTAACTTAACTTGATATTAGTTATTTGATTATTTAATTAACTTAACTTGGAATTAGTTATCTGCATTTTAATTTTACTTAACCTGACATTAATTTATAAAACAAACATTTGAGCCTATTAAAATTCGAGCTAATTAATTTTTTTTACGTATTAAAATCTGAGCCTATTAAAAAAATTTACGTATTAAAATTAGAGTCAATTTGAGCTCAATCTAAACTGCTAGTGCCAATTAAAATTCTATTAGAGTCGTTTAAATTTTGTATTTTTTTCACTTATTAAAGTCGTGCCAAGTTGATTAAAATTTATTTTTTACATATTAAAATTTGAGTCGATTAAAATTTATAGTTTTTTATGTATCAAAATTCAAGCAAATTAAAATTTAATACAAGTTGATTAAATTTTTAGTACGCAACAAAATATAATTTTTAATTGATTCGAATTTTAATATGTAAATAAATTTAATCTTAATGTACAACCATAGTTAATGGGATCCAATTTTTTGGGTAAAAGTGAGACATTTATAACCATAGTTAACTTTTTTTCAATTACAAGTTGGGTGACGTTTCATCTTTTTTAATGGATTGCTGACCTGTCAGTTTTATATTTGCTAACCGGATACTACCACTTCAACAGGGAAGCCGGACAAAATTTAAGAGGATATATCACCCTCACCCCACCCCACCCCCACACCACACATTTTTATTTTCTCTTTTCTGTTTTCTGGAGTGCAGATGAGAGCTAGGCATTTGTTTTGATGCATTTCAATCAAGAGTTGAATGGAGAGACATAGGGGAGAGAAGGGAGGGGAAGTGGACAATAAGAGTACAATTTTTTTTTTAATTATTTGTCTTAGAATTAAGGTTGTCAGTGAATCATGTCGTATCTTATTTCTAATGGTTATAAGTCGTGTGGTATTAAAATTTGTTTAACCTATCTTCAAACCATTTTTATTATCATGTATACTCAGTTTCGTGTTGTGCATCAAAGATGCATTAGGTCAAATTCGTGTCACTTATTTACCGGCGAATTTAATGAGTTCATCCGCTTAGCACCCAGACATGTTGGCTTTTATGCATGGTTAAGTGAAATCCGCTAATTT